AACTCCTCACCACCTTTGGAATGATGCATGCCTTGAGCTGCGACACTGCTCAACTGGATGCTGAACTACGTGGACGCTCGACTTTTCCTGACCCTCGCCTTCCCTCTTTTCATCCTCCTCCCTTGGACTCACCTTCGACTAGACGTACGACATCTACCAGTTCTACTCCGGCTGCACCATCGATTCCGCCACCGAGGACTCCTACAACTCGCTCTCCACGCCGACCTGTGGTTACCACCTCGAACCGGACTTTCTCCACTACAGAGCTATACGGACCAGTACTGCTCGTTCACGCTCTCGGTCTCACCCTCGTTTGAACCCTACAAATCTCTAGATGGCTCTTTCGCTCAATGTTCCAATCACGAGAGAAAATGTCCACTCTTTTCCCTTTCAATTCCTTTCACGCTTCCAACTTGATCCTTTGAATTGTGACACTTTCTTTTAACTTTACACTCTTGATTCTTTTTACTTTACACTCTTGATTCTTTTGGCTCTCAGCCTTCCCACGTCCTACACCTCCCTTCGAGCTCGCACTTTTCGTTCCCTCTCGCCGCCATGTCTACATCGTCTACGACGACTTCGACTCGCCCTACGGGATTGGCACCAATTGCCGGCCTACCTCTTGCTGCTCACGAGGTACTTCATCGTGAACTTCTTCATATACATTCTTCGCTACACTTGATCCTCTTGATCCTCCGCGGACCTTGGGATACTGTCACTCCATCCCTGGTGGACACGATTACCTGTCCTCGCCTTCGTACTACTCTCCGGGCCCTTGAGACCAGCATTGAACAGATTCGACGATCTACTTGCACTACATTGGTCTACACCGATGAACTATGCTCCGCTTTGGCACTTCCACATCCCACTGGTCGCTTTGGCTCCTCTTCCAACAGCACCTCACCCCGTTTTATCATCTCTTCTCCTTCTCCACCCTTGACGACTACGACAACGACTACCAGCGACCCACCTCTTCCTCCGGTCACTTCTACTCCTCTCCATTCTTCGGCCCCTACGGTACTTTGGTCTTGACGAGAATGCCACGTTCCCGCTCACCTTCCCGCTCACGTTCTCCTCCGAGACGTTCTCCTCCGAGACGATTTCGACTTTAGCTGTTCTCACTTGCCCGATTAAAATTGGGGTCTCGGCCGATCAGTAAGAAAAGAACAGAACCGGTTCTTAGGATGCTAGCCATTTCCAGATCTCTTTGATTTTGACCTTCCTTCTTTGGACATACATCTTCCATTATCCTTTCCTTCCGCTTTTCTGTCCTTAAATTTGGGCTCCCCAGCGATCGCCTATCTCGCCCCATTGTCTCTCGCCTACGTTTCGGCCATGGCTTCGACATCTACACCACCCTGTGGTCTTGCAACGATCCCAGGCCTTCCACCTCGTGCTCAGGCCATGCTACATCGGGAACTTCTTCTTGTACATGTTCTCTTGGCCCAGATCCATTCACTATTATTGCAGGTCCCACTCTGCATTCATACTCTTCCATTTATGTATCGGGTGACACACCCACAACTTCGAGCTCATCTTGAAGGATTGGATAACACGCTCCTTCTCGCTCTTCGTCTCAACCACACCGCCGTCCATTACACCCATGAGCTCCTGACAGCGCTGGGCCTTTTGCATATCCTCCAACAAAGCCCAGAACAACTTGAAGATGAACTTGCAGGTCGCACCGACTTTGGTGATCGTGCATCCCTCTCCACACTTCCTACTTCGACCTCCTTGAGGACTACCAGGACACACAACACCGTGGACCTGATGCCTCCGTCCTCTGATCCTCCATCCTCTCGTCATGGATCTCGACATCGTCTTCACATACGCTCACGATCTCGTTCTCGACCGCGTTCAACCAGATCCTAGCTTCCATGTCTCACCTCACACTGTCCCCCACGCTGCAAAAAGACACTGCCTGCTTCCTTTTTCCTGACGACACACTTTCTTCAGTTGATTTTTTCAGTTGACTTGTATCTTTCTCACCTTTTGGCTTCTCACCTTTTGGCTTCAGACCTTATGACTTTGCAACATGCATTTCCACATGATCAATAAGTTAAATTCGTGGTAAGTAGCTGTCAAATTAGATGAATCAGCTGTCAAGGGTCCTGGGTGCTCAGCTACCATGAAGGGTTGAAAGTGGCCTCTGGCTGCAGTTTATAAAACTAAGTGGCGAAGAATGACAGGCTCAACTCTGTCACACAGTTTATCATCCAATGGGTTTGTTCTGGCAAGAAGCTTTCCGATCTCTGTCACACAGTTTATCACCCAATGGGTTTGTTCTGGCAAGAAGCTTTCCGATAGATTAAGCGAAGGGGAAAATAGGATATCAATGATAATATCAATATTCACTTGGATGTTTCTAGTGTTCTTTTTGCATGGTTGGATGGTTAGTCTGTTTTTGCATTGTCAGAAGTTTCGTTCTTCCTCACGTGACTACAGCGTTGGTTTTCAACCCGAAACCCTCGATATCAATGGGACATCCCTGGACTAGTCGGACGGATAACAACTTGCACGCAAAAAAATACAAGTGAGTAGGGCGAGTGTGCCGGATCCATCCAGCTCATGAAATCGCCCAACGTTTCAAAGCAACCAAAATCATAGAAACGATTTCCAAATTACGAACGCACGGAACGTGTTTGCACAAAAAATGCAGTTGCTGCAGCCATTCCTTTTTCATCTCAACCCCAAACTCTTAAACTCTTGGCATTGGCATTTGTTGCCGCCACTGAATTGAAACGTCACACGTAGTAAATCCACGTGTTCTAAACCCATGGACGATATCAGAGCTGGATGCCACCCCGACCAGCAATGATAGTAGCCCTCGATTCACTGCACATCCACGCTGCTTGAGCTTGCTTCATGCTGGAGCCCTTGTTGTCATCAAAGTACTTGCGAACCTGAGTGAACTCAACTCCCCATTTTTGCAATCCAAAAATGTTGGTCAGTCATACTGAAGCTGCCAAACAAACTTGCTTGTAAACAGGCGAGAATCAAACGCCCATCGGGCATCATGTAATGCGGACGCCTTCCCCTAGGCATCTCAAACAGCTGAAAACTGAAAAAGCACGACATGTTTGAAACATCTTGAACCCACCACCTTGGCAGCGGCAGGTGGTTCGGAGCTCTTGTCTTCCTTTGGGCCACCACGAAGAACCTGATAGAACCGGGAAAGATTCCAACCATAAAGTCGGAAAAAACAACAAAAGTACTTTGATTTGATATGAGATTTGTACTGTTTGAGTCAAGGAACACCCTTGGACGCGTATTTGCTGTGCCACTCACGTGAATGCTTCCTCTTGCGTTCCATACGTTCTTCCAAAATTTTTTGTTTCTGTTCTTCCGTCATATCCGCATCCTCGGTGATACGCGGGTTGTTCACATGACCAGAAGGCAAGGCAGGACTCTTCAAGGCACCATCCTCACCATCATCATGGGAAGGCACCAAAGCACCTCCACCATCACCTTCTTTGATAGGGCTGTCAAAGTTCAACTCAGCGGGAAAAACCAACATCGGGGATGAATCACGATGCCGTCGACGACGCTGAGAGCTGGATTCCTGCACACGGGGATTTTTTGTTCGCACAAAAAAATGTTTTTGGGTTGTGTTTCAAGATCATTGAACAAGTTTGGTGCCTTGGGCGCCACAGCAGGTTTTGGGCTACCGCCATCATCACAATCAATGGGTAGATCTCGGTTGTTGCCTTTAACTCGTTGTGGACTTGTAAACCGAGTTTCCTTGTTGGAGCCGTCGTCCTGAACTTGGATTTTATACAACTAAAACGGAACACTCTTGATTCTTGACACAAAAAGACTTGCCAAGGCACAAAAAGATCCTCATAGCCATCGCCCCCAGCAAGATGCGTTTCGAGGGCCTCCTTTTCGATCGCTACCCTCAAAGCATTCAAATCCACGTTCTCCTGGAGGGATACAAAAGCAAAACAGGTTTATACAAGGCAACGGAATCCAGCAAATCAAACACATTGTCCTCATTTGGCTGAGTGTTATCATTGTCAGATGCGACTTCATCACGAGGTCTGCATGAACCCAATGGGCGTGCAACGGACTGAACTTCCTAGGTGCCAAAATCATGCAACAAAAAAGGCTGAAACGCAACAAACTGATTTGTACATGAACCGTGTCGAGGTACGGGGGCAGGGGAAACAGGCCTTGCTTGCAGCATATACTTCTGCATCTCAGAGCTCGGTTTGAACATGAAAGCGTCCTGCCGTCGAAATGTGATTGGCGGCTGGCTTCTCACCTGGGTGGCAGGTGCTTCTGCTTGAGCAACCTTGACCAAGTTGCTTGCTGGAAGGGTCATTGCCGGACAAGTTTGACCGGAAGAACTCGCATGCTTGTCCATCAAATGGGCATTGATCATGTGGTCAGCATCCACGTCAACAGGATAGGCCATGGCAGTGAAGATCGATGAACACCAAACAATAACAGGTGAGATGTCACTACAAACGGAGCCTTGAACGAACACGACAAAGGAAAACACGAAGCTCAACATGTCTTTCTTTGTTCAACAAATGTGACAACAACTCTCAACTCAACCAATATCAACAAATCTCAGCTCAACAAATGTCACCCATCTTCTCTCAACAAATGTCAACAAATCTCAGCTCAACAAATGTCAACAAATCTCATCTCACAAAAATGTCATAACAACTAGAATTCGATGTCAGCTCAACAACTCTGACAAAAGTTGCAAACAAGTGTGACACGCGAGATCATTTTGGCACCTTCTGTCCATCGCTTGTTGTTTGTCAACTCCAAAGGGGCACTTCAAAATGTAGCAAAATGCCACCCAGCCTAGCCCACAATTCTGTAACAGCGGCCAGCTTCCATGATGAAACTTCGCTTGACATACCAAAGCGGTTTCGCTGGTCCCACCACTTTTTCTTTTTGATAGTGGCGGACACCTGAAAGGTCAATGAAGCAGTGGCCCTACCAAAGAAAGGTACATCAAACACAATGCATTCCAGGTTTGTTTATTATGCAGCCAAATATCGCCACACCATCTGCAAGAACTGGCTCTTCTCCAGCGGCTGCACACCGATCAGCCCAGCGATGTTGGTGCCTTTTGCGGCTTTTGCCGTCACTGGGTTAGGGCGAAACACTGTGAAGGTCTGGTGCTGGATTTGCAGCCTTCAACGTAAATCAAGGTCAACTCAGCACATATTTTACAAGTGTACTTGTTCAATGCAATCTAAAGCCACCCTCCCAACCCCTTTCCTGTCACTTTCTTCTCCTCGTTGCACGGCTGCAGGCCGAGTGCAATCATGTCCAGTGATGGTGTAGTCCAGCGATCCCTTCTTTTCCAACGAAACGATGAAATCATACCAGCTCATAGGTTTTGATTCTACTGGTCCCTGCGATGTGGCTTCCTCGTGCACCACCTCAGACAGTTGAAGAAGATAAAGCAAAATCGGCAAAGCGCATTTATATAGGCAAATAGAAATGCAATGCAAGCTGAGTAACAAGGTCGTTCTGTGAGTTCACCCTGAACTCCACTGCCTTGTTGGCGTTGCCTTCCTTGTGGAGGAAGTCTCTTGCCTGTACATTGATGTACATGGTTTGGAAGATTTGTGAAACAGTTGTCAAGCACAGCTCCAATTGTTTCAACCACACCCCGGTCCTTCCCAGAATCTGATATCCAGCTTCCGCCACTATAGAGAAAAATTGGTTTCGGGTGCTCTGACCCCAGGCTGGGAATGCTGACTTTTGTAGATGAGGAGATGTATGCTTGGCCATCGGCAACATGGCAGGTCAAGGTGACCCCCATGTTCAGGCTGACGGTGCATAACACAGTCGGGTGTTTCTTCTCAAATTCTTCCATGGTCATTGATGGTGGTGCATCTGCGATCGCCTCCTCCTTGGTGTCCACGCTAACCTGGTCCAAGTCAGTACTTGTGTTGCTTGTCACAGCCGGAGCTGGAGCAACTTCTGCCGAAGTCGAAGGGGCAAACACTGCATCGAAGTTCTTTAGCCGTTGTCTCCAATCCGGGTCTCAGTACCAAAAGCATGTCACAAGGTTAAATACCATAGGTTACAACAATCTGTTATATAAGCCAAGTTGCTCCTGACAGGGCACTGCAGCCACTTCTCCCTTGTTTCTTTCGGGATGGTGAGGTGACCATTTGTCACGCTGCACATTTTCAAGAGTGGCTCGCGTGGCTTTGTAAATTCAGATGTGTCTGCGGTCTGGATGAACTTGGGCTGTGCGGCTGCCATCAAGCCAGTGCCTTGCTTCCAATCGTTTAGAAGCTTGTCCTTGACCTGTGTTGTCACATATTGGGCCAATGTGGAATTGGCCGTCTCCGAAAAAACGCCCAGATAGGTATCACTCTGCAACTCACCCATCAAATCAATGGCGGCCTTGGTTTTCCAATCCATGAAAATTACAACACGACAATCACTACAACATCAAACTGTAACACTACATCAAACCTGATGCAATCTGGTAGCTTTCTCGAAGGCAGCATCGTACACCGAAAAGTGGTGGAAGATGCACACCTGTCCCCGCAGGGAACTGACTTTGCCGATAGTACCCTCGAGGATGGTTCGGAGTGTTGCACTGGAGGCAACCCACTGAGCCGTTTCCTCCTTGTCCTTACTTGAGTCTGACAAGTTTCAACATGGTGGCAAGAGGAATTTGCAACATATTCAAACCTCATTCTGCCAAGTTTCAGTGAGACTCCTGCCTGTTTCATTGCTGAATAGGGTCTGACTCTCAGGAGTGCAATAGTCACCTGATTTGATAGAAGCAAAGGAATTCCTCAGAACCAAATACCCTTGACTGAACCAAGTGACCGAGAGGCAAGGGCTTGCTCGGCTTCGTGGTATGCAGAGTCCACAGATCATTTTTGGCAAAGACATTCGCGTCTTGACTTGTCCGATCAGAATTTCTTGGCGCTTTGTACAATGTCATCCGACTGCCCAATGTGACATCTTGCACTACCATCCAGGCCGGCAAAGACGCCGGAAATGTTCTGAGAGAAGGAATCAAATCAAAGGCCAACGCAAAGTGTGGATGACATTGATAGTCAGAATGCAATCAAAGTACACTGATATATTCAGACAGGATTCCGGTTGCCATGTGTAGCAGTGACATCAAAAAGCACTTGAATGACCTTCAAGGCGAGCTGCAGAGAGTCTAGCTTGTCTTCGATGCGCCTGTTTGGAAGAAACAAGCCGTTTGCCAAGTGTGGAATCATTTTCCCACCTAAACTCTCCTCGCAAACCATGGAGAATTCCTTCCCCCGCCAACATCGGGCAGATGATCAGCACCATGCCTTTGAAGCAAATGATCAAAAACAAAGCGGTTTAGCTGAACTTCCTGTCTTCGTTGTCATCTTAAAGCAACCCAGGAACTCATCTCAGGGTTCAGCTGCAACGTTCTCGCTGCCCAACTTGATACTTCGTCGATCAAGGGCACCGATAGCCGACCCCACTTCGAAAGGTCGCAGTAGCCGACGTGGTGAACCTTGTCAGGATCTTTTCCATCCAGCTTGGAGTCCTGTAACATCCTCCGCTGAAGGCCTGCTATCGAATCACGCTGGTTCTTGTCACTGCAGAGTACCATACACCTCCTCTGCATCAGACCCTCTGCAAGGCCAAGGCTAATTTGAATTTGGTCCCGCAGATGGAGCACCTTGTGGTCATGGCTAGTGAGCACAAATGAACACATCATTGTCAAATACTTGCTGGGGCACCTCAGCTACATGTTTGCTGGACTCAATTTTGTTCCTCCGGAGATTGAAGTTCACTGCTTCACGAAAATCGTGGCAGAGATTTGCAACGACCATCTTATATTCAGCTTCACGAAGATTCTCCTTAGACAATCCATCACCATTTGCAGCTTTGTTGATTGATTTAACAATAACTATCAGCAAGACAAAACTTGAAGCAGGTTTGGGTTGAATGTTGAAACATGCGTTTATAATCAAATGACCAAGTGTCTTCTGCTTCCTCCACTTCAACACATTCCCCAGTCCCCCCTGAGCCTGTCAGAACAGCCGAGCTTTTTGCCAACGCGTTGCCCACATGATCCTGCCACATGCTGATCTGCTCCACTTGTAGGGATGCAGGCTTTGACATGAGGATCGCATCCAAGTCTTGCGAATAGTCCCTTGCATGTGTCGAATGGATCAGCATTAGTGGATGCAAAAAAACATCTTGCAGCTATTGAAATCGGGTGGCCCATTCAGAAAGGCAGACAGGAGCTTGTCAAGCATTTCCTCGGTCACCTCAGTATTGTTGAGATGTACACTGCACAAACAAATTTGAATTGCTGAGATATACTGTGTATACACTGCACACAAAAACTGAATCAATACAGTCACAAAAGTAAGCGTTATTGTATCAAAGTAGCTCGTCCATCCTTCCTGGATTCCTGAAAAACATAGTTCGCCACACAACAGTGATCAACGTTTTTGTTCCAAATCTCTTCTGACCATCGAAGGCGGGATCTCATCGATTTCTTCAGCTTTCTACAATTGGTTGCCCACCAAAAATTGTACTTTCTGAAGTGTAGGATCTGGACCTCGTCTGAAACCTGATCAACATACATGCATCAAAAAAGCAGGCAGTGGCTTGTCCTGACACAGCGTTTGCAAGCAACTGTGAATAGACATTAGCTAAAAAGCAGTCAGCAGGTTCTGCCAGTGCAAGTTGAGCCCCTTCACAGATTCTCCCAACTGGTGCCGACGAGACCGGAGGAGAGTCTCATTGTAGCCTCCAGGTGTGTAATGTTCGATGGATGAACCATGTCAAAAATGAACCAAGAGAAAAGTCATTCAGTCGAGGCTCCCGATTCCTCCCACTTGTTATAATCGAGGTGGCTCCGAATGATTTGCCGGGCGGCAGGGCATACTCCACAAATCACGCCAATAATAGATGCAGTAGCATCATTGTTCAGCTGCCAGCGTCGTATCGCTGAGTTGGCCTTGTGGTCGTTGTAACGACCGATGATCTCCATGATGAGGTCCTTGTCGCTTTGGTCAGACACTCCTCCTGCTGCCTTTCTTTCTGCCAAGAGGATTTCAAATCGCATCGCCATTTTCATGACCTTAGACCCAAATGAGAAAATCAGAATGAACAATTTGAATGAGACAAAAGTTCAGAAACTGAATTAACCAATGTTCATCAAGAAACATCTTTCCGCTGACGCTCTGCTCCCTGTGTGCTGAGCTGAATGGCATCGAACGATGTCAGCTCAGTGTCTTGGGGCGGGCTGATCGTAGATGGTATGCAGAACAGGTCTGTGATTGCAGGCAACAACGGCTTGATGAGGTCCTGAATGCATGAACCCAGAAGAAAAGTTAAGTCAGTGCCACACAGGGTGAACCATTTTCCCAGAGTGTCCTGCGCCGCCACTGGATCCAAGTCTGCTGCAAGAAGAAGGAGAAAAAGCCCCGAGGTCCTAGGTGAAATCTAGAGTCTCGTTCCCTGTAATGAAATATGATTGATGATTGCCTGTAGGTTGCACAAGACAAGGGATGATTTCGTCAAGGTTCAATCGGGTGAAGCCCTTCTTCACTCCCAAGCGAGGCTCTGAAACATCTGGTGCAGCATTTTTTTGGATGTACAAGTCCAGTGGTTCACGGTACAATCGGCTTCCGCTGAATAGGAACGACAGCACGCATGTCATCCAATCTTGGGTGCATGGAAGCCCATCCGGAGGCAGAGCTATGATGATATCTTGAAGAGGCACGGAGCATGCATGATGCTTCCCAGGAGGCAGATCAGCAAAGTTCTCGGCAAACAGGGAAGAAGTGTTGGGAAACTAAATGATACCCTGGAACATTGGTTGTTGCTAAGTGTTGACAAGCAAGAAAAAACACGACACATCTTCTTCCGAACAGTGGCTGGTCTTGCTGCCATGGCCAATCGGCTGCCGTCTGCTTTGAGCGCTGCCTCAAGAAACGTGTGCAGCTTCGTGTAAGTCAATGCTGCTGTTTCTGGATCCTTGAACTCATGGACAACGAGTTCACATGGGTGTGGCGGTTCTTCCACAGTACCTTTTGTTGAAGGTGTACGCTCTGTAAAGTTGCTCAAGTAGTCGAGAATTTCCTGTCAAATTTCAAAGTGAACCTCAACTCATGGATAAATATGTGTTTTGTGTTGCGGTGCAACAAATGGACAGTCCTTGCAAAATGACACATCACCTGGCAGCTTTTTCAAGGCTGCCGCCCACTCCGTCTTCTGCTTCTTGATCACCGGATCGCTTTCATTTTTTACCTGAAGCACAAACGACCAAAAGTACAAGCTCGGGGCCTATGTTACATGTTTTCCAAAAATGGTGGTATGCCCATTCATGTCAGGTCACCTCCTCCTTCTTTTCTACTTTCTCCTCCTTCTTAGCAAGCAATGAACTCACTGTCCGCAAAGTAGGCGCTTCAATTGAAGCGGCCATGGTGCTCTTTGAACCCTTTAGGAACCAAATCGGCGTAATAAAAAAAAATCGCCGTGGGTGGCCAGTGGGAAAGGAAAAATCGCCGTGGGTGGCCAGTTGAGAAGGAGAAGTCGCCGTGGGTCATAGGTTGAACAGTAAAATTTCGTCGTTGTTCTGCAGCCAACCCCCAGTGAAATTTGGAACTGACGTAGTGTTTTGCTATCCTACCCCCAGTGAAATTTTGGTCGCTAACTGTTATCAAAGTCGCTGTGGGTTGGCTGCCGAGCAACATTGACTTTATAGCAAATCACCCCCCCCCCAGTGAAATCCACATTTTCTGAAATCTTGGATTTCAATGTAGGGTAGTGGATTTGCTATAGAGTCGCCGTGGTTTGGCTGCCGACCCCCAGTGAAATTTTGGTCGCTAAGTGTTATCAAAATCGCCGTAGGTCTTATAGGTTCATCACTTTCAGCTGAGCTCAGCATAACCTTTTTCTTTTCTTCCGGCCGGGCAGTTTCTTGTCCACCTCGGCAACGCCAAACACATAATATTGTGAACTTCTGAAATGCAACAAGAAAGATTCTACTTTCAACTCCTTCACTGCATCAAGAAACACCACAGAGCACTCTTTGTTCCACTGCTACGGGTTCGGCTGCCTCCGGTGCCATACGGCACGAAGGGGCACTGAGGGTGCTAGGACAGCCAACACACAAGGATGTGGCAGTTCTTGACCAGCTGGCATTGCCACCAGTTCTGGCTCTGCTTCATGCCATGGTAGCGGCAGCAAAACTCTATCAGGAAGTTCATTGCTCGCCAAACTCCTCAAATAAGAAGCAGCTTTGCGAGTTGATTCAGACCCTCCCAACAAACGCTCAAAGCTGTCTGCCAAAGATATCCAATCGCTGCGAGCTGATTCTTTTACAGGTCGGAATGGCATCACGCCTCACCACAATTCATGACCAAGCTAGAATCATCCTTTACGTACTATGTATTTGTAGTGGTTCTATAAATGGAATTGTTTCTTGAAACTGAACTGCTGGCTCACTGAGAAACATTAGAAACGAAAACACTCTAAGCCACGGTACTTGTTGTCACCAATGGATATCGATTGACATCTTCGGCCAATGTCACCAAGAGCGGAGGTTGGCGAAGCTCAGGGGAACAAATATACTCTTTCACAAGCGCAACAACGTCATTGTCGTGTTTTGGTCTTCTCTTCTTGGTGCCCTCGTCCACCTCCATTCCCACAGGAAGGTCTGGCAAGCAGAGGAACTTTAATGATGAACATATAAATCGACAGTGAAACTTAAAACAACACGGAATCCGTGTTGAAGAAAGAGCAGCCCACCTTTGCGCTTGCAAAACATGAAGAAGTGATTGGCCGTTTGGTCAAGCAACAATCCTCCTTCCTGAGATGAATGAATTCAGTAAGGCATTCCAAGCAAATACTGCAAGGGTCATTTGTTTTACAACCGAGGCTCGAAAGACACAGGAGCGTGCTTCTCCACATGAGTTTTCCAATCTCGATATTGCCTCAAAATGTGAACAATGACTTTGCCATTGATCCACTTCTGGAGGGAACTCTTCGATAGCTCTTCTTCAATGATTGTGCGAGCACTGTCGGCGTCCACCATGCAAGATGATCTACCCAATCTCCGAGAGAGAACTCCCCAAAGTTGGTCTGAGTTTGGTGAAGCACCCACGAACTTTGGAGCATAAAACAACATAAAAATGCTACAGTAAATGTCATAGTCCGGCTGCCAATGATGTCGTGCGTGTGCGAAACTCTGAACATGCAAGCGCAGGCAAACCTTGGTTAGAGTTTGGAAGCCCTCCATAAATGTTGCAATCAAACCATTGCTGACTATCATGTCCAATTCAATCCAAATCACTTTAGCCGTAGGTGAGAAACGTAGTTCATCAGCATGGAGAGACAAAATTTGTTCTTTAGTTCTTTGACAGTGTTGTCACCAACTACGATCAAACACTCCGGCTTGACATCGTTCAAGGTCATTGCATCTTCCATCGCCAAAGCAATCAGCTCACACACCATGGCCGACCCGGCTCTTTGATTTTCCTCTATGATTTCTATCCGCAATGACGTCCCGAACGTCCAGATTCCGTGCAGCTTGAGCCGCGGCCGTTGCTGTTTCGCATTCCGGTAAGCTGTCCGAAGACATGGATCCCGAGGGAGGCAGTACTTAGCCTTAGGCCATCAGGGCATATGATTCAGTCTCAGGCAAAGCACATAGCATCAACATAAACAACCAACCTGTTGATAGCTTCCTGCTGATGAACCTGGTCAGCTCCATCGGTGCAGCAGGTGATGGTTCTTGCCATCACATCTGTGGAAATATCTCGTAAAGAATAGAAGGCGCAGCGGTCGGAAAACTGATCCATGAGGTGCTTCCGGTATATTTGGACTGCATTCAATCTTGTCTCAAAGGGCAGTTCTCTGTTCTGGAACCTGTTTTGGGCTCTGGACAAAATCAGCCCTCACCATTGGAGAGAACATAAACATAGCCACACATATTAAAAGGTAGTAGCCAGGCCACTGATGCTTCAGCTCTTGGCACACGTCGCACTGGCTAAAGGCAGTGCGATCCCGGAACTTCAACACCAGAGTCCACTTGCCATTCCAAGTCTTCAACCATGTGCTGTACCTTTACGCAATCAAGATTGAATAAACAGTTTTGGTGGCTGCAAGCATGAGAAACCTGAACAACAATGTTGGAAATATTATGAACAAGATGCGATGCAGCCTTTTCAATTCCATGAGCTGCGCACCAGCCACAGTAAAACTGATATGTCTCGAAGCATGATCCTGGAGGTAAGTATTTGCGAACAAGACCGCTGACATCCTTAGTTGCGGATAGTTCTTCCAAGCAAATCACACCTGGTGCAAGCAACAACCAGCAGTTTTTCATTCTCAAAAAGTTGGGTAAAGGTTCAGGCAAGTGCCGTAAATCCTGCCGTTTTTGCCATGGTCAGGATGAATGATGTATTGGATTGCAAAAATTGCGAGAGCTCGGCATCAGTCTCTCCCATGTCGCTCATGAATTCAATACCTCCAGGTTCCCATTGGTCACTGTTGTTGGGATCCACATCAGGATTGATGGACTTTGAGTTCTTCTTTCTTTTGGCTGGTCCTTGACGTACCAACCTGCAGGTTTGTTGAGGGTAGCGCCATGACATGGGGCAGAATGTCCAAACATATTCAACACATCCTCAATGATCTTATGCCACTATGCCAAACAATTGAATAGCAAACAACACCATAGAAAGAGAAACGCCTCCTTAACCTCCATGCTACTGGTCTGGCAAAGGCTCCGCTATGCTGTTGTAGAGAACTGTGCAAAAACTGTCTATGGAAGCGGTCAGCGGGGAAGGCTTTGGAACTCTCTTGCCATACCGGAGGTCGATGGCACCCATGCGATCTAATCGGTGCGAGCTTATTCCCAGCAAAGCCTGAAAGCAAACGCGTCGAAGCTGGACACCCAGAAAGTAGTAGTCCTTGCGCACTTTTTGCGTTGGCTTTGGAATTTCAGTTTGCTCCAAAGCAAGCGCCAAGATAGTGTCTTGCTCTGACTTGGACCTAGCTTCGAAAGCGTCCAAAAATGCCATAACCGACTTGAACTCCAGCTTTTGGTAGCAAGTCTTGTCAGCACACTTGCAAGGATTGTTGAGAAGCCTCTGCACTCTTTCCTTGGTATGAAAGCAAACACAATCTGAAATTACAAAGTGAAACCATTGAACCATCACTCATACATAAACAATGCAACAAATGCATATTCTGAGAGTCTGGGGCATTTCTCGCACATCTTGGTTCTCTCCCCATGTTGCTTGCAGCTTCTTGTTCCAATTTTCTTGCCTTTGCCATTGCATTCCTCCTTGTATTATCATAGACCCTTTTCTTTTTCTTTTCCTCTGCTTTCGTAGCTGTGGTGCATGAAGTCAACTGACCTTGCAAGAATTTGGACACGGTCTCAAATGAAAGCCGCACCAAGGCTTTGTGGACGCCAGAAGAGTCGATGTCTTCAACATCTGCCAAATATTCATCTGAGTCATCCGATGCACTGCTGTGCTCTTCCAACTCATCACCAAGAAGTCCAGGCTGTGAAGGTTGAGATGCCACATGTGCAGGATAGCGGTCTTTCCCTGGTGGTTCATCCTTTTCTATCATGAAAGGTGCTTGGCTTTCTTCTTCATCAGGCTCAGTCTTGAACAGGACAAACGGACCTTCATCTGCTTCATCCTGGAGGAGGTTTGGTGCCTCATCAAGGGTTGTCACACCCTCGGCCTCGTCCGGCTCGTCCTGACATAGTTCTGGCTCGTCAGGCTCGTCTTGAAGCAAGTCTGGCTCCATCAAAGTCTATTGCATGGCAAAAGGGACTGTTGACGGATCCTAGCTCACACTCATAAGTATGTTTTGTTAGAAATATGCAACCATTGAATTGTGAGCAACCTCGCTTGCTATATAGCGGCGGTGAACACTGAAGCCACTGTCAAACTGCTACTGCAAAGGTCAATTGTTGTTGAGTTGTCAAGTATTCAATGTCTTGGCTGAGGGACAGGCTCAAGGAGATCATGGCTTCAATTTGAGGCATAGCATTGCCTGGCAAGGATAAAAGTAAGCTGAACAATATAGTCTGTTGCTTCGGTAGTCTGAAATGCATGCGGTAAGCGCGCAAGCCAAGCTGACATCAGGAAGAAGCCAACACACGGAATGTCCATTGCATTCCCAGCCATGGTCACCTGACAAAGCAGGTGCAAAACAAGTCTTGGTTGATTAGTATGTAGCCCACCTTTTGGTTGTCCGAAAGGTTCTTCAGGTCAAAGGACTGCACACCAGCTACCTCCGCAAACTGGCCCAAGGCTGGATAGCCCATGGCACATAGGAGCTCATCAGGCAGAAGCCAGCGCTTGTGCTTCTGAGACCACCTGCCCAGTGTGAAAACCGATTGAATTCCAGGAAATTGAGGCCACAGAAAGACAAGATCCAACATCTCGGTAAATTTAC